TTTAACAAAGTCCATCAAATACGCCTACTCGTTCACAGAAACCCCTGTTTGGCCCGGGCAGCAGCAGTGGGTTGAGGGCCTTGCTCGGGGGTTGGTTGGTTTGGGGAGTCGAACTGGCAACCTTCTGATGACAGACATGACTTCTCTACCGTCTGCGCCACCACCTCCTCTATGTATCAGACTATTAAGTATATGCATTGTTCAGAATTTCCAGGATGTCAAACTTACATGTAGATTCACTATGTTAGAATAAATGTCATAAATCTCATGTTAAATGATAGATATTGACTTGGTCTCTCACTTAGATGTGCTTTTGTTGTTTATTTATGCAACGGATCATGTTACCAGCCAGGAGTTAAAAGTAACAAATAAGACCATTGGTGAACATTTAGAAACAAGTGTTTTTTGAAACTGAAAGGCTTTCACAGAGTTATTCTTTGATTAGCTTGAACTTCAACCAATTCTTAAGAAGAATAATGTAAACTGGTTTTCCCTAAGTTGTGGGACAGTTTTTTTTGGCATACACACCTACTTCTGAGGACATGATGTTACTTATGGGAACCTGACTGGTACTTATATGGACCTGAGTCTAGTCCCCATAAGAGCAAATGCCGTTGGTGGGTCAGGGCTTAAGTTTAGGACCAAGGTGTGAATTGAGTTTAGGTTAGTTTTAGGGTCAGGTAGGTACCTGTGAGGTTAGTCTTAGGGTTTGTGGTCAGGGTTAGGATATAGAAATGTAATGGAAGTCAATGGAATGTCCCCAAATGTATAGCTGGGCAAACGTGTGTGTGTGTGGGGTGGGGGTGGGGGTGGCCTTGTTTTTCCTACATTGTGGGGCCCATGTTTAAGGAAAATGCAGCATCGTGGGGACCAGGTGCTTTGGGCCCCACAACTTCAGAGGCTGATTTTGGGTTGGGGGTTGGGTTTAGGACCAAGTGGACCTGTGAGGTTAGCCTTAGGGTTTGTGGTCAGGGTTAGGATATAAAATTACAAAAATATGAATGGAAGTCAATGGACGGGCCCCACAAGGATATAAAAACAAGTTTGTGTGTGTGTGTGTTCTAATCATAAATGGAAATCCATTACAACAATAAAGGTGCATACATTATTTTACAGTATACTGTATATACAGTATTTACCTCTGTGATTTTTTTCCATCGGTAAAACTTATATCGGTGTGTTGACATTTTAAGCTACACGTATGATCAATTTTAAGTTGTGTTCAAGTTGTGACACAACTGTTTCAATTGTGTCTCCCTTTTTCTACCCTTGCTTACCATTGTGGACAACCAAGTCAAGCACAGTGCAATATGTGTTTCATTGAGTGAAAATATGTCTACAAGATGTCTAACTGGGTGAAATGTGTTCAAGGTTCTGTCAAAAGACTGAATATTTCAATAAATGGGTTCAGGGCACTGAGCATTTGGTTCAGACAAAAGGTTTTAGTGTTTTAGCAACTGAGAAAAACTGTAATTGTTGTTCCTTCCAGCATTATGAGTTACGCACGTTTTTTATGCAAACAAATCTGCATTAGTTTTTCCTCTGCACAATGCCCAGTTCTCACCCTCACAAAAAAAAAAAAAAAAAAAAAAAAAAGAATCATTCAGGACCGGAGAAGTAGACAGAGTAGAGTACAACATGACAAACCTAAAAAATAAAAACATTTCACACAGGACAACCAAAGTAGATCTTGACAAATGAATCATTCTTCTGTAGTCTTTGTTAAAGGAGTGTGGTTATAATTAATTATCCTGCTATCTAATTAATACATTATTATGCAACTTACACTATCACTGTATGCAAAAACCTATGTAGTCTAACAATTTCTTAATTCAAACAAAATTAAAAATAAAACAATGTAATGTAAATGAAAATTGTCACGTTTAATTTGTGAGCCTTTTGTTCAGGAAAAATAGTCTGACATTTTGGTATATGGTATTTGGTACATACATAAAATTCTTCATTGTGAGTCATTTTGCAGTTTAAATTGTTTTTTCTCTTAAACAATGATTTTTTTATTTGGCAGTTCTGTAACGTTAGTTAAAGGGATCCCCGATTAGTTGTAACATTAGACTTTATTTGATAAACATAGATTTTAACTGTAAAATAAAGACTAAAAATACTGTAGGGTGTTTAGTCTTTATAATTTTTAAACTAAAAGTTTAAAAATATATTAACACGGATGGAGCCATTTTATTTCCAAACAAAGCATTCTGGGTAAATGATGACGTGGATAGGTCCTCGGTGCGAGGCTGCTAGCGAGCTATATCYACCCTGAAGGTTAATCTTGGACAATATCTGATGATCGACTCTTTTAAATGAAACCAGAGAGCGTTGACAGAGAGGAGAAGGTAGAAATGACTCAGCCTGGAACTGAAAATATGGATGGAGGACCTCAGTTTAGCTTGTTTGACGCGCTAGCACCGAGCAAATACATATAAGGCAATATAGTGTCGGCGCTAATGTTAAAGCTAACAGGCTAAGCTGAGGTTCTTCTTCCATGAAGCAGCTCTGTTGTCCTCCATCCATATTTTCAGTTCCAGGCTGAGTCATTTCTACCTTCTCCTCTCTGTCAACGCTCTCTGGTTTCATTTAAAAGAGTCGATCATCAGATATTGTCCAAGATTAACCTTCAGGGTGGATATAGCTCGCTAGCAGCCTCGCACCGAGGACCTATCCACGTCATCATTTACCCAGAATGCTTTGTGTGGAAATAACATGGCTCTGTCCGTGTAATAAATTTTTTAACTTTTAGTTTAAAAATTATAAAAACTAAATAGCCTACAGTATTTTTACAGTCTTTATTTTACAGTTAAAATATATGTTGATTAAATAAAGTCTAACGTTATAACTAATCGGGGATCCCTTTAAAAAGTAAAATTATAATTGTTTAATGCATGAAAAAACTGGTTATTTCCATCACTGAAAGACAAAGGCCGTTGATGTATTCTCCCATTTATGTCTGTCTCTTAACAAAATATTTGAAGAAGCACTACACAAATTTGAATTAAACTTTCAATAAACAATAATTGGATGTAAACGATCTGTACATATATAGTGCCTTTCTATCCAACCATGATACTTAAAGTGCTTCACACACAACAATCTGTCCTCATKTACMCATTCACACAACACCTGGTTGTCTCTCTACAAAGCTAACATGTTCAAATCAATCTATAGAGACTAATCAGGGCTTTTTAAGTCACAGTCACACACTGATGGGACACACGCCTGAGGCAGAGTACAATCTCTTGGCCAAGGACACTTTGACATATGACTGAATAGCGGGGAATCAAACCACCAACTCTTTGGTTAGTGGACGACTTCTTTAACCACTCAGCCACAGATTTCTGAAAAGCTGTCAATCAACAATTTATTAACTTTGGGAATCAACTTAACTCATGAAGACCGTGAAAACAGAAAAAAATATTATAATTCAGTCAATTTTACAAAAACTGACAAAGTTGTGTGGTAATAGCTGAGTCCAACCCCAACACGTTCTGAGTGCTAACAAATTACAAGATCTTTGCTCAAAATGTCTTTTTAAACAAATCAGATAGGCACCACAGCCAACTGACCTTAGGAAATAAAACAAAACAAATCAAAAACAAAACAAAAAGACAACAAAAAAGGCCTGCCACTGAAAAWTCAGTCTTTAGTCACACCACTTACAACACATCCTCAATTAACATTTTCATTGTTAATTCTTTTTCATTTTCCAGCACAGCACGATTTTAGTTTCAAACTCTAAATAAGAAGTGGCGACAGCATTGTTTTAGAGAATGCCAGTCCWTTAATAGTTATATTCTTAGTTAGTTTGACTGATTCACATTATAAAACGCCATCTGAGCAACACTGTGACGAACAGCATGGGAAGCATTCTGTGTGGAAGCAATGTTGCTCTGTCAGCTGGTAATGCAGCCAAGCAGAGCATCTTTTAATGATGCAAACTGACCACRCATCAGCTGTCTGTTACTCCACACTATGGAAATGTTGTTTCTGATTCTTATAGCTGTAAAATTTACAGGTATTCTGTATGATTTACCAAAGCCCTCAACTTAAAATCTGATTYGTTAAACTGTAGTGCAAAAAGACCCACATGAATCATCAGTATTACACCATATGTGTGACTAAAAATAACACTACTATTATGTCAATATACCCTTGAGAGTATAACAGGAYGTTCCTGAACAGAAATGAAGGCTGAGTGATGACATCTCACCTAATTTCRCCTATTCAACTGTTTCTCAGACATATGCTTATTTCTGTCTTTGCCTTGCTCCCGGTCACCTCCACTCACCTGTTCTATCTTGGCCAGCCATTCTTTATTGCGGGCCAGTTCTGTCATAAAGGCCTGGTGTTTCAGCCACTTCCTGTGCAGCTTCTGAGCTTCATCCCGCGCAGTGTCTCGGGCCATWAGCATCTTCTCCTCCACCTGCTGTCCCAATCGTTCAGCTAGGGGAGACAAAAATAGCCACCATCAGGAGGCCAATGCTCAAACCGGCCCTTTTTCTCCCCTTTCGCACAGGATGTCCTGCCTGCCTCCTTTATGCAAGAGCCACCCACTTTGCTCTGCAGAGGCCTAGTTACCTGTACTGATAACTACCCCCCCCCCCCCCAAAAAAAAAAAACTGACACCTATTCCTTAAGAAAAAAAATTCAAGATAAGCACCTCAGCAGTGGTAGCAGTAGAAGCACTCAAGCCCTTCCTTAGGCTCACCCCTGGGTCCTCATGCTCTACCACTTCATGGATGTTGCGGTCCTGATGCTGCAGTGCCTGCTAGCCAGTCTCAGAAAAGGCTAAAACAACCAGCATCAAGACAAAACGAGGAAATGTGCCAGTGACAACACTGGTAAAGAATCACAAACACATCCAAGATTCGTSGCAGGTCGAGGCTATATTTTAGCTCCGAATGTCAGTTTCAATCCAGGCGTCTGCGAGTGGACAGAGGTAGCATAGCCACAGAATAAATCCTGACCATCCAGCACTTGCCAGTTCCTGTCAATCTGTAGTCCTGTCTAATGATGCTGTAGAGAGGAGGAGAAAAAGGAACAGGAGTGGGAGGAGCGCGGTGAATGGGATGCAGAGGCAGTGCAGCGGAGGCTCASTATCATAAGCCGTCTTCTCTTGAAATCATCGCTTCCCAACACTGCAAAGATGYRAGCAGGCTAGTCTAGGTTGGCACCRTTTTCCCTCCCGAGTTCTTCCTTCAGTCCCTGAATGGCTCAGCTCACAGTTGCTGCATGCTGCTGCAGTCCTCAGCTACGCTCCCGTATGCATGAATATGTGTGTGTGTGTGTGTGTGCCAGTGGGAGTGTGTGTTCAATCACGATCAGCACTGCAGTGGCAGAGTGAGTGAGAACGAGGGGAGGTAGGGGGAAGGCAATGAGAGGAGGGGGGACAGAGGGAATCTGAGAAAGGAAATGGAGAAAAAGGAAGTACCGACATCGGAGAAGAAATGGTGGGGAGAGCAAGTCAAAAGAGTGAAAATATGGTGTTATCTAGAAAAAAATGAGAGGGTGGGGTGGGGGGTTGGTAGAACAGAGAGGAAGAGAGCCTGCGTCATCCCTCAGTGTCACTAGGGACAYTTCTCTGCACTCAAATCAGAATTAGCAAAGAAAACTGGGAGGTTTGTGAAACAGGACACATGCACACACTTCTAAACTGCATTAGACTAATTCATGTTCTCTTTAGGAGAGCCCACGTTTGTGCACCAGCTTCAGAAAWATGAGTGTAAACTCAGAGCTTTGGAAATGTGCTTCAGTTGGGGTTGCTGTGTGATATGTACAAGCCTAAACACCGGTATGTAGAATACTATAATATGAAATATACAGCGGGTAAAATAAGTATTGAACACATCACCATTTTTCTCAGTAAATATATTACTAGAGGTGCTAATGACATGAAATTTTCACCAGATGTCGGTAACAACCCAAGTGATCCATACATACAAAGAAATCAAACATAAATGTCCAGAAATGAAGTTATTTGTAAAAATGTGGAATGGCACAGGGAAAAAGTGTTGAACACACTTACTGAAATTTATACCAAACGCGATTTCAGCGTCAGGAGCAGCAGGTTTACATGCAAAGTCTATGG